CCGTCCTCCCCTCTCTCATCCCGTCCTCCCCTCTCTCTTCCCGTCCTCCCCCTCTCTCATCCCGTCCTCCCCTCTCTCCCTTTCCCGTCCTCCCCTCTCTCTTCCCCTCCTCCCCTCTCTCATACCCTCCTCTCCTCGCTCATCCCCTCCTCCCCTCTCTCATCCCCTCCTCCCCTCTCTTCTCCCGTCATCCCCTCTCTTATTCCCTCCCCCCTCTCTCATCCCCTCCTCTATCAAGATTACGAGACTGGAATGATTGAACTAACAGAGAGATCAGTACAAATAGCAAACCCTAGAATAGTGTACCCCATATAGGCTAACCCACTGTAGTCTAACAAACCCAACATATATAATGTTTGACACACCCCCATAGGCAAAGTGGGGAGAGACCTAGGGGTCACAAGACCAGTCAAGGCAAAGCAAGGCAACAACAAGCTCAGGGTGGATCTCGAGGATTCCACACAAATTCCGAGCACAAGCAAGCGGTCACAAGACCAGTTCACATGCAGGTTATAATAGAGCAAGACGTACAATGATCACAACCTAGCAAGAGTAAACATGCAGGTATATAATACATAGTGATCACAGTACAGGCAAAGTCAAGAAGTGAGCAAGTGAGGCCCAGTAGGCACAAGGCCTAACAGAGTACAGAAGCGCTGATGGTCACAAGGCTGGAGTGCCTTGGTGAACACATCAGCAGTGTTGGCCTCAGTGGCCACGTAACGCAGACGAAGCTGACCGCGCTGCTGCAGCTCTCGAGCAAGGAAGTACTGCAGGGCGATGTGCTTCGTTCTGTGCTCCAGTCTGTGCTCCTCACACAAGGCAATGGCAGCCTTGTTGTCGACGTACAGCACTGGAGGAGAACGAGGCCGCTCTCCGAGGTCGGTCAGCAGGTAGGTCAGCCAGCGCAGCTCCTGAGCAGCCATGGCTGTGGCGTAGATCTCAGCCTCACAACTGGAGCTGAGAACAGAAGACGAACGAGTAGAACGCCAAGAAACTGAGCCAGAGCCAAGGCTGAAGGTGTAACCCTGTGACGACCGCTGAGTAGCCAGGTCGTCCACCCAAGAAGCGTCTGAGTGTCCAGTGAGAACAACCCGGTCTCGCCCTCCAAGCACAAGCCCCATGCCCAACGTACTGCACAAGTAGCGCAACACCCTCTTAGCAGCATCCATGTGCTCCTTCCTGTGACGGCCAGGAGCGACATAGCGTGCTAAGATGCTAAGGGGGTATGCAAGGTCAGGTCGAGTGCAGGTCATCAGGTACATGAGGCAGCCCACAAGCTCTGGATACGGGCCACTCGGCTCTACTGACTCATTCGAAGGCAGAGCTGAGAGCGAGTGACCGGTAGGCAGAGGAGTGGACTGAGGCGAGGAGTACGTGAAGCGGAAGCGCTGGAGAACCTGCTGCACCATGTGTGACTGAGTCAAGGTGATGGTGCGCCGTGCTCTGTCCCGGGTGATCCGCAAGCCAAGATAGCTTGTCAGCTCACCCAGGTCTGTGCACGTGTGTCTCCTCTGCAGCTCCGACTTCACGTGGGCGAGTGCCGCTGTGTCAGCAGTGGCAAAGACCAAGTCGTCAACGTACACGAGGATGTAGAACGGCGGCAGCGAGGTGTCGGTGCGTAGAAACAGCGACGGGTCAGCAGTAGAGGGAGCGAACCCAAGAGCCGCAAGCGTCGTCCTCAGTGTGTCGTGCCACTCACGTGGCGCCTGGCGGAGACCGTAGACCGGCCGCTGAAGCCTCCACTAGGTACCAGGAGGAACCGACCCAGTGAAGCCAGGAGGACGGCGCAACCAGATCTCCTCGTGCAGGCTGCCCTGCAAGAAAGCAGTGCTGAAGTCAAGTGAGTGAAGCTCGTAGTCGCGGTGAGCGGCTATGTGCAGCAGCACCCGAAGAGTGGTCATCTTCGGGGTGGGGGAGAAGGTCTGGAAGAAGTCGACATCCCCTCTCGCTGACTGAAGCCTCGAGCCACGTAGCGTGCCTTGAAGACAGGAGGAGAACCCGGCGGCCGCTTCACCCCGAAAATCCACATGCCACTGACGATGTTCGCCCCAGGAGGGGGAACCTGGTCGACGTAGGTGCCTGTGGACTTCCAGGAAGCCATCTCTGCGTCCATGGCTGTCTGCCACTGAGAGGAGTAGGGACCCGCCATCGCCTCGGCGTAAGAGCGCGGGGTCGGGATGTCTGGTGCATCCGGGTCTCCCTCAGGGGCAACAAGCATGGACACGAGATGGGGCAAAGCAGCAGCAAAGCACTGGAACTCCTCCTGTCTGTCCTCAAGGACGTCCGTGCCAAGAGCACACTCACCCCCCGACGGACGGAGGACAGGCAGACTCAGACTCAGACTCAGCGACAAGGCTGGCAGCGTAGTCTAAGCGACAGCGAGCAGCAAAGTCAACCAACTCAGCGACCAGAGCAGACGCAGCAGAGGACTCAAAGGTCGGGTCAGTGACAACTGTAGCGAGGAGACGCGTAACAGTGGGACTGGCCGCACGACGGGAGTCAGACTCCGGGTCAGGAAGAGTAGGAAGAGAGGACGCAGGAGGAGACGGCAGCGGGACACGCTGCGGAGCAGTGGAGGGACGCAAAGTCATGTAGTGAGTGCCAGGGACAGGAGGAGGACGCTCACGCGGGACACGACGACCAGTGCGAGTAGTACGAACAGGCGACGCAGGACGAGACTCAGGCTCACGACGCTCTGTAAGACCTCCTGTGGGACCAGCGTAAGGAGAGGGAGCAGGGAGAGGCGAGGCAGGCGGTAACTGTGACTGCGGCTGGACAGGCAGAGGACACTCGACGGAGGGAGGAGGACTAGGAGGAGGAGCCTGACCAAGAACCTGCTGAAGGAGTGGTACGAAGTACGGTCGCGGCCGCGCAGCGTCTCCAGAACCAGCAGGGACACCAGCGGCAGCCCCAACGCCCGAGTCCTCAGCACCAGCAGCAGCTCCAACACCCGGGTCCTCAGCACCAGCAGCAGCGCCACCGGTCGGGTCCTCAGCACCAGCAGTAGCTCCAACGCCCGGGTCCTCAGCACCAGCAGCAGCTCCAGCGTCCGGGTCCTCAGCACCAGCAACAGCGCCACCGCTCGGGTCCGCAGCACCAGGAGCACCACTCCGAAGACTGCAGCGCCGTGTGTACCACTCTCGGATCACCTGAATGGGGGGGAGCTCCTGGGTAGGAGGGGAAGTACTGGGACGAGCTCCAGAAGCACCTCTCCGGAGGCGGCAGTACTCGAGGTACCTCTCCTGCAGCTGCTGGGAGGAGAGGGCTCCTCCAGGTGTAGTACGCTCAGGCTCAGCACCCGAAGACTCAGCACCCCCAGACTCAGCACCTCCAGGCTCCGCACCTCCAGGCTCCGCACCTCCAGGCTCAGCACCCCCAGGCTCCGCACCTCCAGGCTCAGCACCCCCAGGCTCCGCACCCCCAGACTCAGCACCCCCAGGCTCAGCACCCCCAGGCTCTGCACCCCCAGACTCAGCACCCCCAGGCTCAGCACCCCCAGACGCAGGACGCGAGTCAACAGCTACCTCGACAGGCTCACCCGGGTCTACCTGGGACACACCTGAGGGAGCGGCACCCTGAGGGGGGAGGGGGTCTGGTACCTCAGCACCTGGAGCGAGGAAGAGAGGCGGGGGGGGGAGCGGGGCAGTGCGGTAGGGGAAGAGGCGGTAGAAGGGGACGGACTCGTCAAAAGTGACGTCCTGAGAGGCCAGAACCCGGCGCGATGTGTGACGTGGTAAAACTGCCATCCAGGCGCGTCAGGCACAAAGCCAAGAAAGACACAGGGAACGGCGCGACGCGAGAGCTTGTCCGCGGACGTGTCGCGGACAAAAGCTCGAGATCCCCAGACCCGGAAACGCGACGCATCGCCAACCTCTCCCGTCCACCGCAGAGTCGGGGAAGTCTCCGGCAAGGAGACACGGGGCCAGAGGTTGAGCTGATGCGCAGCGTATCGGACCGCAAACGGCCACAGAAAGTGGGGAGCAGCCGCATGGGTCAGGGAGGTACGAGCGACCTCCATGACTAGGCCAATGCGGCGCTCAGCGACCCCATTCTGCTGCGGAGAGGCCGGAAGCGTGAACGACTGCTCAATGCCGTGCTCAGCACAGTAGGCTGCCAAGAGGTCGGAGGCGAACTCACCACCTCTGTCAGAGTGCAAGCGCAGGACAGGAAAGTCCGAGTGAAAGCGCTTGCCTAGCTGGAGACGGGCTCGGCTGATCCAGGGGATCAAAACACCAGGGACGTCACCCTTGGCGCGCAAGGGGAAGACCGTGGTGTAGCGCGAGTAGTCGTCAACAACTATCAGGAAGTACCTCTCCTGACCCTGACCACGGACGCGGGCTGGGCCCCACACGTCCATGTGGAGCGTCTGCAAGGGAGCAGTCGTCGGGGGAAAGGAGGAGGAGTGAGGAGCGGCGCGCTGCCGCCCCTCGACACAGGGAATGCAGTCAGGAGCAGGGGAGTCGGGAAGGGGAGGGAGCACCCTGGGAAGACCAGCAACAAGGTCCCGTTTGTGCATGGCCCGAAGGCGCTGCACAGACGGGTGACCAAGGCGGTGGTGCCAGAGGACAGTCTCATGCGCCAGAGAGCGACACGAGCAGGGGGCGGACAGCTGACCTGACGCAGACGCAGACGCAGCTACCTGAAGGGACTCAGTGGTCAGTGTGTACAGGTCCGACCCCGGCTCTCGAGTGAAAGTAGCCAGGTGGCGGCCCGTCCGAGCACACGTGCAGTGTGTCACACGCTCGTAGGCAGGGGTGAACTGGTGAACACCCCCGTCCTGCAGCGCACAACCTGCCACCAAGTTCGTAGAGAACGAGGGGAGGTAGAGACCTGAGAGCGTGCCGGACGGAACCGCTGGACACGGAAGTGTAGTGGAGGAGGTCGCAATGACCGGACCCCCAGAGGGGTCAGCAAGAGAGACAGCAACCGGCCGAGCTAGTGGCTCAAGGACAGTGCGGTCACGAAAGAAAGAGCGAGAAGCACCTGAGTCCAGTGTGAAGGTGTGCAGTGCTGCAGTCGACTCAGTACCAGGGGGCACAGACGCACTAGCACCTAGGGCAGCTGCTGCAGCAGGACCTGTGGGAGCAGACACACTAGCACCTAGAGCAGCAGCTGGGCTGGCCTGAATGCCCGGGTCGGGCGGAACACGCAAGTACTGGGCACCCTCTCCACTAATAGACATCGCATACATAGCAGTGAGAATAGCATCAAAGTCTAAAGCCCAGATATCAACACCCTTCTTTTCCAGCTCAGGCCAGCGGGGGAGCTCAGTAGACCCAGGAAACTGGATGCGCCACGCGTCAGTCAGGCGCTGGAAGCAGCGCTGCGTGGGGTGCGGCCTCCCACATGGCTGGCCAGTGCGGTCACCAGTGCGGATGACGTACGTGCAAGTGTACCCACGCTGCGCGTACCACTCACGGGCGGCCTGGAGGGTCGGGGCGTGCTGCTGACTCTGGCCACCTCCAGCGTCTCCACGGCCACCACCACCACCGCCACCCGCCACCCCGCCTCGGCCACCTCCACCCCTGCCACGGCCACGACCGCCACCGCCGCCGCTGCCACCTCCGCCTCTGCCACCACCCCCGCCGCCGCTGTCACCACCCCCACTGCCGCCACTAGCCTCTCCAGACCCACCGCCACCTCCACTGTCTCCACCCCCGCCTCCCCCCCCTCCCCCCCCCCCACCCTTGCCCCCCCTGCTCTTGCGGCGCCCGCTCGAAGCAGACGCAGCCCCGACCTTCTCAGCACCAAGGAGGTCGACAGCAGCAGCAGTGGCGACAGAGGGGAGAAGGGGGGAAGGGGAACACCCCTCGAAGAAGGGGGTGCGGGGCTCGCCACGAGAGGCACCTACGGCGACGATGCTCGCCTCAGCTGCAAGTAGGTCCTTCTCGAGGAGGGCAATGGTGAGCTCAGTAGGGGAGCGAGCTAGAAAGGAGTCCCTGACTGTGCGCAGAGAGTCAGGGAGGCGGGTGACAATGTGGTAGAGGGTGAGCCAGAGCGGGGGGGGGTTGCTAGCAAGGAACTCGGCAGGCATAGCAGCGCGAAAACGGGCCTCACTAGTCTTGAGGTGGGTGATGAGATCAGCGACAGTGTGAAAGGAGGCCAGGTCGGGGAACAGGTAGGGCAGGGAGAGGCGGCCTAGGGTGGCAGACGCAGGCGAGGAGTAGCGAGCAACTACGGCTGTGTACAGTTCCTTAGCAGTCTTGCACTGGCCGAAGTGCTCGCGCTCATCTAGCGGCAGGGAGTTGCGGATAGCAAAGCGAGCGTGTGCGTCGCGGGTCTGCCACTGGGAGCGCAGTGTGCTAGCAGCAGAGGAGTCAGGGGCAGTAGCATGGCCTAGGGCGTGGTCGTACAGTGAAATGTCTTCCTTGGCAGTGAGCTGTAGGAAAAGGTGCAGATCATCGAGCCAGGTGTCAAATTTCACTGGGCGGCCCTCAGCGTCGAAGGCCAGAACAGGAGCAGTAGCCATGGTAGCAGGAGGAGGAAAAGTAAGTAATAAACGTGGCAGTGACAGTAGCAGCAGGGCAAGGCAGGGCCGGGGCAGTCGCGACAGCGGCGGCAGTTGCTGCAGGTTCGGCTACAGTAGGGACTGCAGGGCCGGCGGCGGCCGATGGAGTAGACTCGGCGGTTGCGGCTGCTGCAGGATCGGCGGCGGCTGCTGCTGCTGGGTCGGCGGCGGCTGCTGCTGCAGAGGCAGCGGCGGCTGATGCTGCTGTAGCTGCGGCGGCCGCTGCTGTAGATTGCGGCGGCTGCTGCTGCCGTAGATGCGGCGGCGGCCGCTGCTGTAGATGATGCGGCAGCTGCTGCTGCTGTAGATGCAGCGGCGGCTGCTGCAGAAGATGCGGCGGCTGCTGCTGCTGTAGATGCAGCGGCGGCTGCTGCAGAAGATGCGGCGGCTGCTGCTGCTGTAGCTGCAGCGGCGGCTGCTGCAGTAGATGCGGCGGCTGCAGCTGCTGTAGATGCAGCGGCGGCCGCGGCAGGAGAGGCGGCGGCGGCTGCTGCAGCAGTTGCGACGGCCGCGACTGCAGTCTCTGCCGCGGCTGTTGCTGCAGGCCCGACCGCGGCGACGAAGGCGCGGGGGGTCGAGCGCAGCACACAAGGCGCGCGGGCAGCGCGACGGGCCGCGCGCGAAGAAAAAGAACCGCGCGCGCTGGCGGCTAGCTAACCGCGCGCGAAAAATGGCCGCGCGCGGGCTGCTGGCTGGTCGCGCGCACGAAATAGGCCGCGCGCGGGCGGCTAGCAGATCGCGCGCGGTAAAAAAAAGATGGCGCACTAGGGGCGCAATAGGAGGCGCACTAGGGGCGCAATAGGAGGCGCACTAGGGGCGCAATAGGAGGCGCACTAGGGGCGCTTGATAGGTATGTAGGTAGGTAGGTAGGTGGGCCCTTAAGAACGGTCCTAGGGAAGGACCTGCTCTGAAACCATGTCAAGATTACGAGACTGGAATGATTGAACTAACAGAGAGATCAGTACAAATAGCAAACCCTAGAATAGTGTACCCCATATAGGCTAACCCACTGTAGTCTAACAAACCCAACATATATAATGTTTGACATCCTCCCCTCACTCATCCCCCTCCTCCCCTCTCTCTTCCCTCCCTCCCCTCTCTCATCCCCTCCTCCCCTCTCTCATCCCCTCCTCCCCTCTCTTTTCCGGTCCTCCCCTCTCTCTTACCATCCGCCCCTCTCTCATTCTGTTCTCCCCTCTCTCATCCCGTCCTCCCGTCTCTCTTCCCCTCCTCCCCTCTCTCTTCCCCTCCTCCCCTCTCTCATACTCTCCTCTCCTCGCTCATCCCCTCCTCCCCTCTCATCCCCTCCTCCCTCCTCTCCCTCTCCCTCTCTCTCTCATCCCGTCCTCTCCCCTCCTCTCTTCCCGTCCTTCCCTCTCTCTTTCCATCCTCCCCCTCTCTTCCCGTCCTCCCCTCTCTCATCCCCTCCTCCCCTCTCTCATCCCCTCCCCCCTCTCTCATCCCGTCCTCCCCCTCTTTCATCCCTCCTCCCCTCTCTCTTCCCGTCCTCCCCTCTCTCTTCCCGTCTGCCCCTCTCATCCCTTCCTCCCCTCTCTCTTCCCGTCCTCCCCTCTCCCTTCCCATCCTCCCCTCTCTCTGCCCCTCCTCCCCTCTCTCATCCCCTCTTCCCCACTCTCATCCCCTCCTCCCCTCTCTCTTCCCGTCCTCCCCTCTCTCATCCCGTCCTCCCCTCTTTCTTCCCGTCCTCCCCTCTCTCATCCCATCCTCCCCTCTCTCTTCCCTGTGTCAAAACAACAGGCTAGGATCAGAAACAAGAAAGAGAGGTTTTCACTTGCAGGCAGTTGAGTACATATAGCAAACCCTAATTCGGGCTGTACTCGCTATAGAGTACCCCACTGCAGGCTAGACAAACATCACATTCTGACACACCCCCATAGTCAAAGTGGGGTACAATCAACACAACAAGCAGGCAGAGCAGTAGTTCACAATGATAAGCAAAGCTAGAGACTATCACAGAGGGCAAGTGAGGAGGAGGAAAAACTGTGGGGGCGAGAAGATGGGAGGCGACGGCTGAAGCTGCAGACATACGGGCAACAGGAGTGCGCAGCACTGTCGCTACCAGGCGCAGAGCCCCGGACTACACGGCGACAGGCGCTGCTGGCTCGCTGTGCTCCCAGGAGTGCTCACACTGTGGCTACCAGGCGCAGAGCCCCGGACTACACGGCCACAGACGCAGCTGGCTCTCTGGACTACCAGGAGTGCTCACACTGTGGCTACCAGGCGCAGAGCCCCGGACTACACGGCCACAGACGCAGCTGGCTCTCTGGACTACAGGCGCTGCGGACGACAAGACGGCTGCCTCCACTCAACTTCCCCCAGCTGTCTCACACGCCACCCACCTAGTACCACTCCGACAACCCCCACACATCCACCCCCCTCAGCGGCAGCTGCAGCAGTGGGAGACGGAGGAGGAGGAGGAGCAGGGGACGGCGCACACACCCGTCACCCCCATACTCGCCACCCCCACACTCGCCACCCCCAAACCCTAACACAGGCAGCAGCGGGGGGCGGTGCGCGGGCAGCAGCTCGGGGGATGGCGCGCGGCTCCCCAGGGCGCCGCGACGGGGCAGCGGGGGCCGCGCGCGGCTCCCCAGGGCGCCGCGACGGGGCAGCGGGGGGCCGCGCGCGGCTCCCCAGGGCGCCGCGACGGGGCAGCGGGGGGCCGTACGCGGCTCCTCAGGACGTCGCGACGAGTCTGCGGGGGCCGCGCACTGTTCCCGAGGGCGCCTCGACGGGGCAGCGGGGGCGACGCGCACGTCGACGGGGGGCGACGCGCGGGTCGACGGGGCAGAAATCCGCCGCGCGCCCTGAGCACGCAGCAGGCAGCAAACATCACGCGCCCAGGGCGTGCGATAGGCAGGACAGCAGCGGAAGCATCGGGCGGGACCACCCACAGGATCGACCCAGGAGGGTCGACCTGCTCTGATAGCATGTCAAAACAACAGGCTAGGATCAGAAACAAGAAAGAGAGGTTTTCACTAGCAGGCAGTTGAGTACATATAGCAAACCCTAATTTGGGCTGTACTCGCTATAGAGTACCCCACTGCAAGCTAGACAAACATCACATTCTGACACCCTGTTAAGATGAGAGGAGCCATGCATGGCGAGAGAGTTAGGTAGAGTCGAAAAAGTTGGACTAGGAAGAACAATGTTAAGGTACAAAAGAGAGAGGGTTGGAAACCCTAATTGAACCTAGGGTGTGTTCGGTTTGTACTAAGAACTACGAAATGAACCTAAAATGAACCTGAGTGCGTAACTCGCTCTAAGCATGGAGAAATAATATAAGAACACCAAAATAAAGACATGAGCGAGCTCTAGCCTACTCCAACCTACCCCCAAGGTAGGTGAAGGTCTGGAGCAAAACACCTAGCGAACCGGCACACCCCCAGAAGTGGAGAGACGCGTGAGCCCAAGCTCGCGCACGTAGAAACGGTGTGGCGCACGCAGGAGGGCCTTGGTGAAAATGTCAGCAAGGTTGGCAGTAGCGTCCACCTTGCGAAGGCGTAAGAAGCCAGACTGCACCAGCTCGCGCACGAAGAAATAGCGGACCTCGATATGCTTGCTGCGGGCGTGATAGACAGGATTTTCAGTGAGATGAATCATGCTCGCACTGTCACAGGAGAGCGTCACAGAGGACTGAGAGTGACCAAGCTCAGCAAGGAGAAAGGAGAGCCAGCGAGCCTCCTGAGCGGCCAAGGTGCCTGCGTACAACTCAGCCTCGCAGGTGGAAAGGCAGACAGAGGATGAGCGAGTGGAGCGCCAGCTGATGAGACCATTACCAAGAGTAAAACCATAACCCTGAAACGAGTGGCGATCAGGGCGAGAGTTAGCGTAGGAAGAGTCACTGTAGCCGGAGAGAACGGGAGGAATAGAGCCACCAAGAGTGAGAGCAAGGTCAGAGGTGGCGCGTAGATAGCGCAGGACGCGCTTAGTAGCCGCCCAGTGCACGTCAGTGTGGCGGCCTAGACCGACAAAGCGAGAGAGAACACTGAGGGGGTAAGCAAGGTCGGGGCGAGTGCACATCATATCACACATAAGAGACCCAACGAGCTCAGGATAAGGCCGCAGCTCAGAGGAGGGAGCAGGGACGGCAGGGGCAGTAAGCTGATGGTTAGCGGGAAGAGGGGTGGAGACCGGCTTGGCTTGCGACATCTCAAACCGCTGGAGGACGGACTGGATGTAGAAAGGCTGGGAGAGAGAGATGGTGCGGGCAGCACGATTACGACGGATCTCCATGCCGAGGTAGTGACGAAGCTCGCCAAGATCCTTGCACAGGAGACGCGCCTGCAGGGCTTTCTTGACAGCTGCAAGATCGGCGGAGTCCTCAAGAAGCAGCACCAAATCGTCCACGTAGGCAAGAATGTAGAGCCTGTGGGGGGAAGTGCGAATAAAAAGACTGGGGTCGGAGGTGGAGGTAGAGAAGCCAAGAGAGTGAAGGGTGGAGGCGAGCTTGGCGTGCCACTCGCGCGGGGCCTACACAGGTCGCTTTAATTCCCAAACAGTGCCCGGAGGGAAAGGGCGAGGAAAGCCAGCGGGGCGCTCAAGGAATATGCGCTCATGCAGCTCGCCCTGGAGGTTACCTGGGTGACGAGGTTCTGCAGAGGAGTGCGACGGTCGCCCAGGCGAAGTTGGCGAGTCCGACCTCGGTGGTGGTATCCCGAGGTCGACGTGGCTGATCAGAAGCAGTCATTAGCGCCAGGTTGATTTGGTGTGTGCGTTGCGCAAGTGACGAGGCTCAGCCCGCCAATCATTTGCGAGCACCTGCGAAGCGGGTGCGCTGCTGTTCTGCGTGAGCAGCGCTGGCGCGCCGTTAACCTGCAACGTTGGCACGCCGTCGACTTTGCACTGCTGGAGCGCGGTCGACCAAGTCGTGCTGGCACGCGGTCGACCATGCTGCGCTGGCAGTAGACTTGTTTGCATGCTAGCTCTGATGTAGTCTAGTCTTGCCAACTTCATTGTACCATTGTTGTCAACTTTTCTTAGTGAAACTCTTGCCAAATTGCCTCGTGAACTAGCAAGCAGTGTGTGCACTAGGAAACGACTAAGGAACGAGCAAATGCAGAGATCACACGAGCACCCGTGCCTGGCCCGTAGTCTAGCTCCCGTTGTAGTAGTTATCTCCGCATCCTCCTCCTCACTTGCCCTCTGTGATCACCTCTAGCTTTGCTTATAATTGTGAACTATTGCTATGCCTGTTCGTTGTGCTGATTACACCCCACTTCGGCTATGGGGGTGTGTCAGAATGTTATTATTGTCTAGCCTGCAGTGGGGTACTCTATAGCGAGTACAACCCAATTAGGGTTTCCTATATGTATGCCAACTGCTGCTAGTGCAACCCGCTCCTTTCCTCATTCTTGTTTTCTGACTGCTAGTTTTGACAGTAGTTTCGGTTGACTCGCTGTTGCTTCGCTGTAGTTCGCTTCGTTTACGTTGTGGTGTTTGACATATCAAAAGTGCGAACTACCGTATATGTTTCCAACACAACCAAGCTTCACTAGAACGCTTCCGCTGATACATCTCGAGTCCTAGATACTGAAAAGATCCTAAGGGCTTTCCTCAGCCCAACAGTTTGGACACCAGTTTGGCCACCAGTTAGGTTAGTTTGGCTAGGGCACGCTGATCCATCAGCATGCCCTCAAACCAATCTAAGGGCGTGACGAACGCTGAAACTTCAGCGTTGTTTTCATATGTAACTCTGATCATCAGCGTTTTTTGGGTTGCGAAGCAACCTATTACAATCGTTATGTACAATTTTTTTTTCATCGTTATGAAAAAAAAATAGCGAATCGTGGCTAAGTGATTCAGTGCTGTGTATTTGCCACGACAATTTAGCACGTGCCGTACCACATTCTTTCACATTTCCTAGGTAGTTCGCCTTGACTGGTAACCTATACTTTATCGATGAAACATAAACATGACTTGCCAAAATGATGTACCGTAACTGTGAATGCGTGACCGTTTATTCGGTAATGCATATGCCGTAAAAAATAATGTATAGATGAAGTATAATGATGATTGAGTGCAAAATGCATAAATATACATGCATATACGACTGTGGTGAATATACATGTGCTCTGTTTATTTCGGTATAGGTCCGGTGCAGTGAAATGAATGCATGGCATGATGGAAATGCGTGACAGTTAATTGACCCAGACCTTATGCTACCGCATCCCCTGCCTAGCATGGGGGGAAGTCGATAGCATAGTTCCTGAATCATCCAACTGTTACATGAAACAACACAATCTGTGTAAACTAAAAAAATGATCAAAATCCATCAAATCCAGTTCAAGTGAACACACTCACTGAGTGGGCAAAGAACCTTCTCGGAAATGATAGCTTGACCATTTTTTTAAAATCCACAGATACGCATTGTTAATGCAATAGCAGGTGGATATGTATGAATATGCACACAGAGACACATACGCACACACGCACATACCGATATGCACACACAAAGACGAGTCACAATCAGAAAATGAACCTAAAAGAAATCTAACATAACAATGCAGTAGCATCAATCATTAACATTTCAAACAAAAATCAAACAAAATCCTTTTAATTTCCACATTAGCCTCCGAATGTTATAGCGAAGACCCTGGGAGGGAAACGGGGGGAAACGTAGTGGGAAGGGAAAGGAACGGGGCAGAAGGGGCAGAAAAAAGGACGGAGGCAGAGACACATTAGAGAACTACGATACGACGGAATTACAGGATTTGAAACGTAGGCAGGTGGGGAAGAGAAGTTTAAAGGAGAATAACGAATAAAAATACCAGATGTGATAATAACCGCATAGAGGAAACGCAATAATCTGGGCAAGGAAAGAAGAAAACATAAATGAGCTCGTATATAGTAGCGTTTTGATAGATACATAAACGAGCGAAAGAGTTTGACAGAGAGAGAGAGAGAGAGAGAGAGAGAGAGAGAGAGAGAGAGAGAGAGAGAGAGAGAGAGAGAGAGAGAGAGAGAGAGAGAGAGAGAGAGACTTCAATAAACTATGGCTTCTAAAAAAACATTCGTAGACTTATGAAAGACATATTCAAAAACCGCACGAAGGTAGGAGTGGAACCAATACGGAAGGAAGATAACATGCAATACGAGGACTATACGCGAGATGCGAGGAGAAGAAACATTGCAAGAAATGAGACAGAAAGAGCCTGTAAGTATGACAGAAAAAAACACACACACACACATAACTACGAGAAGATGGGGCACAGATACTAGAAAAACCGAAAGAAGAGCGTCTAAGCTGATAAGAATAAAAAGGAAGGAGGAAAACGACATGATAGAGAAATGAGAGGATAGTTCTAGGAGTTAAGAGCGTGAGCAGCACAGTTGGACTTACGGGAGAAGACACATTATTTAAGAACGACCTAACGGTTCCGTCGAAATGGACGATATCCTTAAAAACGATTAAGTTTCTAGATAACTTAGAACTTACTGGTTCAAATTAGAGAAAAGAACATGAACGAAACTGCTCCTAATATTTTCTTGAAGTCTAAAAAGAACTAGCAGACGTTAGTACGTACGCTAGTCCTTAAATTCTTACCTAGTAAGTATATGACTGCTGCAGTCGTAGGAGGAGCGGGAGTTGAGGGAGACGCGGGAGGAAACTAGGGCATTGACGATCCAGAAAGAGACGAAATGTTGGGAAAGGAATTCAATTTTCGGCTTCAATTAAACTGGCTTTAAAAATTTTCTCGGAAATTGAAAGTCGTTCTGTTAGCGCTGTGGTTTGAGTGTCTCGTTTTAATCCAATGGTCTCGGGTTCGGTTCTTGCCGCGGCCTTCTGTATCAATGCAACATTTTTAACAGCTCGCTGTTTTTATTTTGTACCCCTCGAAGTCAGTTGTGGAAGCATAGTGGTATGGATATCGAATCAGAAGACGAAGACCTTCGGTTCGATTCTTGCTGCTACCTTTTCATGTCAACACAATATTGGATATGTGTCATGTCTAAGAAATCTAGGAAAGTACGTAGTAGAACAAAATATATTATTTACAAATAAGCTTCGCAACCCTATGTCGACTTGGTCGCCTCTTGTTTTCTATACCAAGGCTGATGGATCAGGCCCGGTCCAAAACGAATCAAGGGGCTTAGGTACGATGGTATTATAGAAAGGGTCTCAGTTGTAAGATTTACAAGACACCCGTTTGTTCTCGATAACAATTTAAACTGCCACTTTTTACCCATACTATGGAATATGACATACATGTCTTTTATCCGGGTGATGACGGTAGGAACGGTACAATCACATGCAAGGTTATAAACGTACATATGAATTCAGGCAGTGGTGGGCTTATGCATCAGAGAACCTTGGTCCGTTCAAAGAAGGTCTTGAGATGCCAGTACTGCAGAGTGGCCAGCAGGGTGCACGTGAGAAGGGAGAAGGCGCTGAGCCAGCCAACTCGTGCCTGTGTGGCGTGGGACATGCCCCGCAGCTCCTCCTCCCTGCACCCACCCATGGGGCAACGCGTGTAGCTCACAGCATGAATCAAACAGTGGCGCAACAAAGGAGCACAAAGGTCCAGCTGCGGCTCCTCCAGCACCACAGATAGGCGCCTGCACTCTCCCTGCCATCCCCCATGCACTCTCCCTGCCATCCCCCATGCACTCTCCCTGCCATCCCCCATGCACTCTCCCTGCCATCCCCCATGCACTCTCCCTGCCATCCCCCATGCACTCTGATGCCATCCCCCTGCATCCCCTCATGCTGGTTGCAGCGTAGCAGGCACATGATGCAGCGTAGCAGGCACATGATGCAGCGTAGCAGGCACACCTCTCTCCTCTCTACTCGCACCTCTGCATGCATGATGCAGCGCGCATGTGTGGCGCACCTCTCGTGGAAGAAGATCATTTCATTCGATGCCGCCTCCACCAGCCCCTCCAGCCGCTTCACCTCCCACTCGAAGCTCTGCACCGTACCACTCCCCACAGCACAGCACCCACCACAGCATCCACCACAGCACAGCACCCACAACAGCCAGCACCACCCGCAGGCAGCGGGCAATGGGCAGCAGGGGAGGGGAGATGGTGAGCAGCTGTGCATTCCCTCCGTGACTTGCCACCCACAGCACAGCACAGCGCTGCCCCACAACGGACACTATTGCTGTGCCGTGACCTTTCCATGCCCTTGCAGGCGTGGTGAGGTGCAGGCGTGGTGAGGTGCAGGCGTGGTGAGGTGCAGGCACAGCAAGCAGCAGAGACAACCCCTCTCACCTCCACCCGCTCCTCACCTCCACCCGCTCCTCACCTCCACCCGCTCCTCACCTCCACCCGCTCCTCACCTCCACCCGCTCCTTGGTGGCGGCCTGCTGCATGTGCGACGCTGCCTGCCCCTCACGCCACGTCACCTCCACCTGGTGGCGTGCGTCGTCATGGCGCCCCACGTGGTGGCCGTGCAGCCAGAAGCAGAGGTGGTACTCGCCGCTCTCCTCCGCCGTGAACCCCACCTGCCCCTCGCCCACTCCCTCCTTCATGTACACATGCACGCCCGCTGGCGACGTCACCTGCACCATCACGCACCCATGCGAGACGATTGGGAAAGAAGGGGCAAATGGGCAAATGGGGTGAATGGGGTGTATGAGAGGAATGGGGCAAATTAAAATTGGCAAAATTGGAAGAATAGAGGAACAGATTTGTTTGATAAAGCAGGTGGCGACCACATGCACATGTGATACGTGGATGTGGAGAGACGACCGAGTGGGTGGCAGTACTGACGGAGACGTCGAGGGAGAAAGGGCTGGCGTGGGTGGCGCGCACGGCGGCATAGGAGGCGGCGACGAGCGTGTCGCGGCGCAGGTCGTGACCCACACACTTGGCATGCTGCTCCACCTGGAAACGCACCGCTGTGGGCGCTGGTGGGGGCGACGAGGGGCAGAGAAGAGAAGAGAAGAGAAGAGAAGAGAAGAGAAGAGAAGAGAAGAGAAGAGAAGAGAAGAGAAGAGAAGAGAAGAGAAGAGAAGAGAAGAGAGATGTGACGAAGAAGAAAGCAGACAAAAAGGGAAGAGAAGAAGAGAAGGAGACAAGAAAGTCGGGACAGGCAGCGAGGGGTGAAGATTACTAGGAGGACGAGGAGCAGAGGTGGGGTGCAGGTCGGAGGTTTGAGTGATGTGATGTGAATGAGCAGCGAGGAAGGCGACGAGAGGAGACACGGTGCAGGTGGAATGCTGTTGGCCGCGGTGCAGGTGGAATGCTGTTGGCCGCGGAGGGCTGCTGGAGAGAACAGGGGGAGGCGATGGGCGGTATGGGGGGGAGGCGATGGGCGGTATGGGGGGGACGCAACACAGAGGGGTTGGAGGGAGGAGGGGGTGGGGGGGGGGGGGGGGGGGGGGGGGGGGTGCAAAAAAAGGGGGATATAACAGAGGAAGGAAGCTAGATGGAGGGAGTCGAGTAGGAGGGGTTGTGAGAAGGAGTGTGGTGGAGTGAGGGGGAGGGGTCGATGGGTGCCAGGGTTGAGAGGGATGGCGCAGCGAGAGGGAGGAGGGGCGGTGAGGGGGCGACAGCAGCAGGCAACAGTGCGGCGCGCTGCAGTCGCGAGTGCGGCGATTCGCAGCCCACGCGCCTCGACGGGGCGGCGAGAGCAGCGACGGGCGCCCCTCGACCCGCCCGCGAGGTGCCTCACCGCGCTCGGCACGCAGCGCCATTCGGCGGCTCACCTGCGCGCGCGGCGGTCATGGCGAGCAGCAGCAGCCACAGCGCAACGCCTCGCGCCATGGCGATTCGCGCGGCGAGCGCGGGGGAATCGAGGGTTGACGGCAGACTCGGAGGCGGACGGAAGGAGGCGGATGCGGACGGCACTCGCGGAGCGGAGGGAAGGGCGGCGCTGATGGCGTTACGCGGTGCGAGGAGTGCTTGACTGGCCTGCTGTATGTTGGAAGCGGCAGTGATGCAGCGAAAGAGATTCAACAGTGTGTTGCGATTCCGACCGTCACCAGTGCGACTTTGGTGGTGACCCGGTTGCCGCGATCGGGTGGCGAGGCCGCTTACACTGGAAAATGCATCGAATCCATCGGTTACAAGCTTCTAAACAACAATTGCTTATACTTTGCAAACTATATAACGAACAAGAATGTTCAAAACGGTATCTATTGAACCACTGCCATGATATCCCCCTCCCGCACAAAGCAAAACCTGTCAGCGCCGTCTCCAATGGCCACCTGCACACATGGGATGGCCAATGGGCAGCCACCCAGCCACACACAGACGACCACAAAGACACAGACAGCATGTTGGCGATGCATCCTTCCTTGAATACTCTCCTAACAAGCGTGTGCATACAAGCGTGTGCATACAAGCGTGTGCATACAAGCGTGTGTTGAGGGCTGAAGGGACAAGGACAGCGATCCAAGTGTGCGGTAGTGCTGGGCAGGCTTGCCACATGGTGTGAATGGGCGAGAGAGGCTCACCTCGTAGGCGTTCATGTCGGGAAACATGATCTGCACACAGCAGCATGGCGCACACAGCAGCACGGCGCACACATACAGCACCAAACGCACACATACAGCACCAAACGCACACATACAGCACCAAACGCACACATACAGCACCGAACGCACACATACAGCACCAAACGCACACATACAGCACCGAACGCACACATACAGCACCAAACGCACACACAAGACAAAAGTGGGCATAACATAGCGGCAATGTGAAATGGCACAACAATCATCACCCCACATGTGAAATGGCACAACAATCATCACCCCACATGTGAAATGGCACAACAATCATCGCCCCACATGTGAAATGGCACAACAATCATCACCTGTGAAATGGCACAACAATCATCACCCCACATGTGAAATGGCACAACAATCATCACCCCACATGTGCCCCCGGTCCATGAGCTATCAATGCCTCTGGGGGCGCTCCCCTTGCACCCACATGCTCTCCCCTTGCACCCACATGCTCTCCTCTTGCACCCACATGCTCTCCCAGTGTGGCAGTGAATGCGCAACGAGGCACGCGAGTCCAGGAGGTGCAGGGGTGAGCGAGGGAGGTGAGTGAGGGCGCTGGGTGGTGATGCTAGCGGGTTTCCCTCTCTCCTAACAAGAACCCAACCAATCTGATCAACCACGGGGTGCAAGGCAAGTGACTTTGCCCTTGCTTTCTCTTGTATGTTTGCTTTCTCTTGTATGTTTACTTTCCCTTGTATGTTTGCTCTGCGTTTTCTAAAAAAGGTGTGGGGAAGGAGCAAGTGAGGCGAGCAAGAGTGAGGCGAGCAAGAGTGAGGCGAGCAAGAGTGAGGCGAGCAAGAGGAAGTGAGGCGAGCAAGAGGGAGTGAGGCGAGCAAGAGGGAGTGCAGGCACGGCCTCTTTTGACTGACCTTCTGCCCCACTGACGCCTTCTTCACCTCCTCTCCCGCTGATACCACCTGCGCACTCATCGTGTGCCACCACCACACGCACACACGCCACCACACGCACACACGCCCACTCCCCCGCATCAACTCGTACACCACACAGAAAACGCACGGGCGGGCTCACACAACACACAGCGCATGCACACGACACACATGAGAACACAGATTGGGCACAACAGAAGCACGAAAGAACGTTGGGTCGTGAGAGACACATGAGGGCAGTAGCGGGAGAGGAGAGGGAGGAGAGAGCAGAGAGGAGCACGAGTAGGAGGAGAGGGAAGGTCAGTGAGGTATCGCCCTACCTGCCCGGTGAGGTATCGCCTTACCTGCCCGGTGAGGTATCGCTCATATTTGACGGCCTGCGTGGGCAGCAGCACGCCCCCCGCTGACTTCTGCACTCGCACGCGCGCACAGGGGAACACAGGGGGGCACAGGAGGGCACCGATGGGCACAGGGGTACAGAGAGCAAGAGGATGTGGAGACAGGGGAGCCAGAGGCGAGAGAGCATGGGTCTCGGGCGAGAGAGGCGAGAGGCGAGAGAGCGACGAAAAGAGAAACATGTGCGGTCTCGGGTGGGCAGGTGGGCAGGTGGGCAGGTGGGCAGGTGTTAAAGGGTAGGTTATCATGAAGGATGCATGGGAGCATGGGAGCATGGTAGCATGGGAGCATGGGAGCATGGGAGCATGGGAGCATGGGAGCATGGGAGCATGGGAGCACAACTCACCTGCTCGGGTTCATCGAGCTTCACCAGCAATCGCTCGCCACGTGGCTGAACCTGGAAGCGGGGAGAGGAATGGAGAAAAGGAAGGGAATCACAGCGAGCAAACAGCGAGCAAACAGCGAGCAAACAGCGAGCAAACAGGGAGCAAACAGGGAGCAAACAGCGAGCAAACAGCGAGCAAACAGCGAGCAAACAGGGAGCAAACAGAGAGCAAACAGGGAGCAAACAGGGAGCAAACAGGGAGCAAACAGGGAGCAAACAGGGAGCAAACAGGGAGCAAACAGCGAGCAAACAGGGAGCAAACAGCGAGCAAACAGCGAGCAAACAGGGAGCAAACAGGGAGCAAACAGGGAGCAAACAGCGAGCAAACAGGGAGCAAACAGGGAGCAAACAGGGAGCAAACAGGGAGCAGGGAGGGCGGGTTAGTTTGCTTCGTGCTGCGCTGCTCCATGCCGCACGGCCTTGCAGCCAGCCATGGCTGCCGCCCCTTGCTGCCTCCTCCGCGTCATGCTCTCGTATGTCTGTGGGGTAACCATGTTACCTACCAGAGAAGCGTTCACGTCGCGAGGACGAGTTTCTCGAGGGTGCCCACGGCAGGCGTCTTCACCTTCACTCACTCCGCGCGCCGCCAGGACGGCGGTGTCACCCCCGCCGCAGCTGACGTCGCTGCGCACGGACGCGCGCTGCCAGCACAACCAACAACCCTCGCGCTCACCACGGTCCCCATTCGCCGCTGCGCGCTGCCACGACCCGCCACTCTCGACCCGGCGACTACGCGAACCCGCACCCCCCCCCACACCTTGACGCACTTGCCCAAACCCTCCTGCCACCTACCCTTGCTGCCACCGCTCCTCGCTCCACCCACCCCTCACGGCCTCCCGGCCTCACCCGCTTGTCGCTCAGCGCCTGCGCGATCTCCGCCGCGCTCATCGCCGCGCGCACGCCCACCGCCGCCGACGACGACGATCGCGAGATGCCTTTTCTGGAACGAGCGACCAATGGGAAGGCGAGGCTGGGCGTGCTGACCAGCGGGAAGGCGAGGCTGGGCGTGCTGACCCGCGGGAAGGCGAGGCTGGGCGTGCTGACCAGCGGGAAGGCGAGGCTGGGCGTGCTGACCCGGCAGGTGCGCGCGCTGCTGAGATCGGATAGCGCGGCGGCCTGCGACGCGACGTGACGAACGGCGCGAGCGATGGGACGGAGGTATGGTGAGAAACAAAGTTAGCAACGGCGATGCCTGAAACTACCTGGCTGTGCGCGTGTGCGCCGCGAACATCACAGCGATCGCACAGCGCGACAGGGTTTAAGGAAACTTGGAAACAATGGCGGGGATGTGGAGGGGAGTGGAGGGAGGTTGAAGTGACAGGGGTAAGGAAGATAGGGGGAAAGCGAAGAGCGGGCGGAAGTGGGCGGACGAGCACGACGACGGTGCGCGCACAGGCGCACAGGGAGGGCAGCGAAGGGGAGAGCGGCGTGAGAGAGGCGTGATAATAGCGTGGCGAAAACGGAGAGAAAGAGAAGACTCACCGAGCAAGCGGACTTGTGGATGCAGGGGAGCGACACGGACGCCATGAGTGGCTTTGCGGGCTATGCGCTGACGAATGAGACGCAAGCAGTGCAAACTTCTGGTGATGGAGGCTAAGGGAAACACGAGGGTCACGCAGAATGACACACGCGCCTAGCAGCGTGGGAGGTGACCTGAAGGCCGATGCAGGGCTGGTTCCTCTGCGAGTGTCGCCCTACTGCAGGGCGAAACCGCCGAGGCTTCGCGAACATCCGAGTGACGGCATTTCGGAGCTCTGTCGGTCACCAAGTTGTGTGCTGACGTGGCTAGTTCCAGCAGCCGATCTGGATTGTTCTTTCCGAAAAGTACGCCACGCTAGCAGCTGTGAGTTCGTGTTCGTGTTAACATTGCAGCGACCGAACCCGAAATCCGACCATTTGGTCGTGTTCGTGCTCGATTGGTTAGGGCGTGTAACATTGCAGCGACCGAACCCGAAATCCGACCATTTGGTCGTGTTGGCCGATATGCGAGGGAAGTGGTAACAAACACCTGGGGCGTCCTATGTAGATTTAGGGCGTATTCCTATCCTCGTATCAAGAGAACCTCATATCAAGAATGTACTTTTTAGGGCGGGTCTAACTTTGCACATGTACGGTTAATTTTCAGCTCAGTTACCAGAATAATGCATGTAACTGAACTTTTAACGTACGAAATCCGTTTGACGCGAGACTGTACATAAATGAGCTCATTTCGGAAACGTGCCCTGGGACGTGAGGAACACATCCGAAGGCTCGTCTCCAAACTCGCTTCCCGTCAAAGTCGTCAAGCAGTAACTCCCGTTTATCGCCAAATGTTTTTCGTCATTAATTTATTCCCTTCGCCCATGATGCGGAAACCCTCGCAACATGTGGTAACTCTCCTTCCCAGGTTCTTGTACCTCGCAACGTTAATGTACCTCGTGAAAAGTCCGCTCTGTACACTCCAAACTAGACAGGAAACGTTAGGAGTACACCCTGGGGTACAGTCAAAATTGACAAGTGTGTTGACGTAAATATAACGAAAAAAAAAAACGGGAGTGTGCAAAGTTGGACTCGCCCTTACCTGGTAAAACTAGCGAGAGGTTTTGGGTTTAGGGGAATTTTCAGTGGGAGCTTCATATGAGGTTCTTTTAATACGATGATGGGAATACGCTCTTAGGGTTGCGTGGTGGATTTAGGAGCACCCACCCTTAAGTACCCCATATTTAAAATTTAAAGGTATAATCTCAATTTCAGCATTCGAACTGGGTGTGGAATGTGGGGCACGAAAATATGGTAGCGTTTAGCAACCTCATAGGTCTTTGCAAGACAAATTCGGAGACTACCACATATTGCTAAACTATGGGACTGCCCCAAAATTTTCCGTGGGTGACTACCACGACGGGAATATTTTCGTGACCAAACCAGTCGCTTGGTTTAGGAGTTTGCGGAATCGGTCGTTATCGTGGTCATTTGACGGGAACGTCTCGCATCCTTCGACATCGTGTTACACACTTCGCATTCGCATGCCCCAACCGAATAGTCGGATTTTGGAGTTGGTCGTCGCAATGTTACACGCCCTTATATGTTGTAACAAGTCATAACAAAAAAAAATGATACATGTTTGTTAGGCTTGCTGGCCTATGTCCGCTAAAGAATAGCGGGGTCGACTAAGTCGATGATGCAACGCGGTGGAAGACTTTGGCGGAAAAAATTATTAGCGAAATAGGTGAAGGAGTTATGGAGTAATGGAATGAGAATAGGTTGAGAAATGATTGCTATTGGCAAGTACAAGCAAGGTTGATATAGCATGCAAGAGCGAATGTCGGAAAGTAGTTTATGGGACTAGAAAGTAGAAGGCAAGAAAGCTAGAGTGCAACGTGGCACTTGGAAATCTTGGAAGATAAGATGGGGATGAGTTGGATGGGTTGGGAAAGTACTGTTCAAAGGGAACAGTAAATCCCCCTTTAACACTACCCCCCTCCCAAGGAGGCGACGTCCGCGGCGCCTGCAGACTGAAGGTACGCTTGGAGGCAAGCGTTGTCGGGAGACAGCGAGGACGAAGGAACTTAGCTATCATCGGCTGCATCGTAACTACGCCAACGAACCAAGAAGTCGATGAAAGAGACACCCCCCCTAGAGACGACGACGGTGCCTGAGGATGTGCTAGATCTGGTAGTCGGGCTCGTCGGTGTCAACAGCTACCGGCAGTGGAGTGCGATCACGGCCCGAGAAGGTGGCGTTGGGATCGGTGTAAGGCCGAAGGAGAGACACGTGGAATGATGGGTGCATGCGGAAATGAGCGGGAAGGCGAAGGCGGTATGCGACTGGACCAAGTGTGTGCTCAATGACAAATGGACCAATGAAGCGTGGGCGAAGCTTGCTGTCCTGTGGCAGTCGGAGGTTGCGGCTATCCAAAAGAACACGGTCGCCGACTGCAAACGACACCTCACGACGACTGTGGTTGGTGGTGCATGCCATGCGTGCATTAGTGAGCTCAAGGTGTTTCCTCACGTGATCGTGAATAAAGGTGAGATGCTGGCGGAAGTTGTCAGCATGTGGGACTGTGGGCGTGAGATCGACACGAGTGGGGACATTGGGGTGCTGACCGTACAGTGCAAAGAACGGTGACATGCCTGTGGCGGAATGATGCGTGTTGTTGTATGCGAACTCTGCCATGCTCAACTTGTTGTCCCATGCTGATGCGTCGTGCATCGTGATGCTACGAAGAATCTGCTCCAAGGTCTGGTTCACGCGCTCAGTCTGTCCGTCTGTCTCTGGATGGTACGCAGACGACATGGCTAAGAGCGAGTCTCTTTTTTGATTTTAGGTATTTTGGCGGAATGTCCGTTTGTATGGAAACGGACGGTTGCAATAGTGGGTATCGGACTGCTCGTTTAAAAAATTCGAACATGGGACAGTCCGTAGGCAAAACTGTCATTTTTCACCCCATCGCTGATTCCCGATTTACTGTAGCATCGCAACACCTCGTACACCATCGTAACCCCAGTCACACACCCTCGCCAAAATCGCAACTACAGGTAGCGGCTCGACATCCCCCGAATGCTCAAAAACTGCACTCTACACAACAGGCGAAGGTTGGGTAGAGGAACCCGGAAGGGAGGTTTTAGGTGTGGTGTTGGCCGGTCGAGAGTTGTCATTTTCGCTTGACTGCTCCATTGCGGGCTGATTCTGATGGTTCGGTTCGGATTGCTGGGGGATTTGTAGTTTTGGTGGGCTAGGGGGCGTAGTGTCGGTTCAATGTTCAGGAGCGCGACGCGCGCCAATAATAAATTGAACCTGCGACTCGGTGCAGTTTTTTTCTCTAAATTCGCGCGCCAATCACGTGTCAGAACTGTGCTTCTGGCCGTTTGCATTTCGAACTGACAAAGGTTCATAATGTGAACCGTTGTGTGGAGGGAAAAGTGACACGACGGTTCGAACTGTTAGCGACGTCGCAAACTCCTTCGCGAACTCTTTGCGAAGTGTAACGAAAACTGTAACGTCTTCCCAATTTGGACGGTCCACGGTTCGAACCGTCGGGAGCAAAAAAGAGACACGCCCTAAGCAAGTCCCAAATAGTGCGAAAAGCTGCTTCCAGAACTTCGAGGTGAATCTAGGGCCACGGTCTGAGATGATGGAATAAGGAACCCCGTGCAGTCGGACTACGTTATCTACGAACAGTGTCACGGCTTCCTCTGTTGTGACTTGGCTGTGCGTGGGGATGAAGTGCGCTGCTCGAGAAAACTTATCCACTACCACGAAGATGGCGTCGTGACACCTGACTGTGCGCGGTAATGCCATGATGAAGTCCATCGTAACTACCTGCCAAGGGCGGTCGGGTGGTGGAATCGGCTGCAAAAGTCCTGCCTTGCGCTGTCGCGAGGACTTCGTACGCTGACACGTGTCGCACGAGCGAATGTAATCCTCTACGTCTGCTGCAAGCCCTGGCCAGTAGTACGTGCGACTAAGCGTCTTAGCCGTCTTATCTGCTCCAAAGTGACCTGCACTAACTACGTCGTGTGCCTCGGAAAGGAGTTGTCGTAGAAGGCGGTGTACCCTTCTGTATGTAAACACTACCCTGCACCTCTGCTCCTGCGGGCGGTTGCGGTGTGAAGTCGGGATCTACTGTGTAACCGTGCTCGAAGAGTGCTGTGAGAAGTGGATGGCCGACAATGACTGTGAGACTAGCGAGCTGGCAACTAGGGCGAGTGAGCGGATCTGCTGGGTTGCGCACGCCTGGCTTGTACTCTATCCTGTAATGAAAGCTCCCCTCCTTAAACTCCATCCATCTAGCCTGGCGACGACTCAGCTGCGGCTGCGACTTGAGAAAGCGAAGCGAACAATGGTCTGTGCGTATAACACACTCTGCCCCCTCTAGGTAGCACCTCCACACCTTATACGCATGGATGATCGCTAGCGCCTCCTTGTCGTGAATCGGATAGTTCAGCTCCGCTCCCCTAAGCTTACGCGACTCGTATGCGATTGGCTGCAACCCGCGTCCCTGAACCTGAAAAAGCACTGCTTCAATTGCCTGATCTGATGCGTCGGTCACTACAACGTATGGGCGAGTGGGATCAGGGTACGGCAGTGTCGGTGAAGACGTGAGCGACTGCTTCATCTGCTCGAACGCCTGCTGCTGCGCTGGACCCCAAACGTACTCTACGCCTTTCCGAAGTAGGTCGGTGAGTGGACTAGAGATTGATGCGTAACCCTGAACGAAACGGCGCGAATCCGAGGAAGCTCTGCAATTCCTTAACTGAGATCCGTGCCACCCAATTCTGTATGGTTGCGATCTTCTTCGGGTCGGTCCTAATGCCACTAGCGGATACGACGTGTCCTAGGAACTTGACCTAAGGGAGAAAGAACTCGCACTTCGACTGCTAAACGACAACGAACGAACCTAGGAACTCAGCGTCTGGAACGTCGCTGGGGCGTTGGTCAGTCCAAACGGAAGAACCCTAAACTCGTATAACCCCGGCTTCGTACGAAACGCCGTCTTGTGCTGGTCCTCTGGAACTACGCGAATCTGATGGTAGCCTGAACGAAGG